TTAAAGAGGAAACTCTAGATGGCAGTGTATACTACGCTAGGCAGGAGGAATCTACACACCCAAGTACACACTGTTTTCCGTTGCTCCTCGGGCAGCTTCTACGATGTCTTCTTCATCTTCCAAAACGTCCTCATTAGATGCATAACTTGTATCATCAAAGAGACTGATGGGGATGACTTCTCCATCCCTAAGCAACCAGGCAGATGCAATTGGAGTACAAAACTAAATAAAGATCATAAACAGTTGTAAACAGTACTTACGTAGTTTCAATTCATAAAATATCACTTAAGAGGGGCTGGGGAGATGGCTCAGTGGTCTAAAGCACCTACTTAGAACAAGCTTAGCACAGCACAGGGACCGCGTTTCAATCCCCCAGCACCACTTGCCAGCCAGCCCCGCCCCCTGGTGGGCTAAGCTGGCCACACACACACACACACACACACACACGTTTAAGAAAAAGCAAAAAAAAAAAAAATCACTTAAGAGAAAAGAAAATTAAAAATTTAAAAATAAAACTTAAAAATCACAAGTCTCTTAAGGCATAGAGAGTAAGTTAAGGGGCTGGGGAGATGGCTCAGTGGAATAAGTGCTTCCCTGGCAAGCGCAAGGACCTGAGTTCAATCCCGAGTTCCGCCAAAAAAAACCAACAATAACACTAAAAAAAAGAAAAAAAAAAAAAGAGAGAGAGAGAGAGAGAGAGAAAGTTAAGACTCTATGGTGGGTGTAGTTATAACATGTCTGTAATCTCAGCATTCCAGAGGCTGTGGCAGGAGGGTCCCTGTGAGTTCAAGGCCAGCCTGAACTGTACAGCAAGACCCTGTCAAAAAAAAAGGGAATCCAACACAGCAACTATTTCCCTCCACCAATACATGTGAACACACCGGGACAGCGGGAAACATATTTTAAGTTCTCAGTAGTTAGGTACCTGGTACTCCCATTCCAGATGTCCTCCCTTCTTACTGAATGCCATAACCTTCCAATCAGCAACTGAGATTTTTATGACCGTGTCCAGCATGGTAGCTTCCTGTTCTTCCACATCTGAAATAATTTTAGACTCTTCTTTGTTTCCACTGGGCTTAAAGGTGCTTTCAATAAATCTGGATCTTGTTTCCATGTCTGGAATATATCGAAGCTCAAAGTGGCCAACACTGAAATTCCACCTTAAAGTTACAAAAGTTTGTTTTAGAAATTTATATTTAAACGAAGGGGCCAAACAGCACAGAACTCGTCTAGACGCAAATAGTAAAATTGTACAATGAGAAAAGTGTCAACATAACTTTCTGTAACAGATGGTGCTGCTGATTACCGCCACAAGAGGGCAGAGGAGACCTGTCCTGAGCCTTCAGAAACAATGGTTCTGCGGGTTGGGGACAGAAGCAGAGAGGGCCAGATTTTTTTCCCAAAAACTAACAAATGTCGAATAAGAATGATCTCAGTTTGAGCACATTTCACTCAAGTCCAGAGAAATTAATATATCCCAATAAGCCAAAGAAAAAGGCTAGATGAATGTAGGCGCGTCAGAGTCCTAAGAAAACACGCCTGGAAGAGGCTGTGTGCCCAGCATCCCGCCCCGAAGGGCTTCGGCTCGCCCGGTGTGAGAATTTCCCCTTCCCTGATTCTCAAGTGTCCCTACCCTTACACTAGCAGCCAT